CTTTATAAATAGTATAAATAGTTTTTATAGTGTTGATGGTTTCTCTTTCTTTACGAATGAGGACTGGTGTAGACCCATCACCGGCACAGAGGAGGGACTCCTAGCTTTTGTAGCAGCAAATCAACTCTTAGGAAATTTTAACAAAGCTAAACTGCTGCAGCAGCAGATAGAAGCAACCACGCAGCAGCAGCAGCAACTGCAGATGCAGATGCAGCACCAGCAGCAGCAACAGCAGCAGCAGCAGCTGCAGCAGCAGCTGCAGGGGGAGGGGGGAGGTTTTGACGGGAAAGAGAAACAACAACAGCAGCAACAGCAGCGGCAGGAGCAGCAGGAGCGGGAGCAGCAGCAGCAGGAGCTGCTGCAGCAGCAGCAGCAGCAAGAGGAGAAAAGGAGAGAACTGGAGCAGCAGCTGCAGCAAAGCCTAACGAGTATAATAGAGGTAGGGGGGGCATCAACACAGATTGTACTGCCTATATATAACCCTAACAGCATCCCTTCATTTATAAATACAATAAATTTATATTCTTTTGGTTATATAAATGAGGAAGACCCTAATATAGATGTACTATCTACATCCTTTATGCAGCTGGGGGCCAGCAGCGCCATTGGTGTTTTTTATAAGGTATACTGCAGCAACAAAAAAAATATTATTGGGGGGGTTTGTATGAATCCCTGTCTCCCCCGAGGATATAAACAAACATGTTCAACAGGTGAGGTGTATATAGAGAAGAAAGGAGACAAAGAAAGGGAAATAAAAGTATATACATCTATAGAGAGACAAAGAATAAGGCCTGCTGCTTCTTATTGTACATCGACAAATAAAGAAATAAATAAAAAAACACTAAACCATCTATCCTGTCTCTCTATAGATATAGACCCAAGTAAACCACTAAGAGAAAGAATATATATTGATGGATGTAAAGAGATAGAAGGGACAGGAGACTTCGATGCATGCAGTGCTGCAGTATATAATATATTACTAAACCCATCTATACCTCTCCCAGCAAACCAAGAAGCCTCATATACAGGCTTTGATAGTTTCACACAAATATTTGAGTTTATATATACAAATGCACCTATTGTATTAACAGGAAAAGCTCTTATTGAACCTATAAAGGACTTACAAGCACTGCAGCTACTGTCTCCTTTTTATAAAGGAGACACCTGCCAGCTGCAGCAGGCTGCTGCTGCTTATTGTGCTGCTCCTGTTGTTAAAACGGAGACAGGTGAGATTATAAGAGAAATAAACACAAACAAAGAAATAAATAAACTAAATACAGAGACAGAGGAGACAGCAACACATACAGAGACAGAAACAGAAAGAGGAGGAGACAAAAAGGAGACAGAAAAAAAAGAAAAAAATAAAATA